TTTTCTATTCTTCACGATTTCATTCTCAGTGCTTTTGTCTTCCCCAAGTTACAGCTACTTACTGGTTCTATTCCGAAAACATCTTGCGTATAACTTTTCACTAAATGCGCCGTATGATATAGGCAAAAAGTCAATTTGGCCCCTAAAAAATCTTCAATGGCGCCTAAAAATGGGGCTTTATGTGCCACATGGCTCCTAAAACTCAAAGGTGAGTTCCGAACACTGATTCAGTACAACCTCGGTTGAAATGCAAACTACAGTACCGCCGTGGTAAGGAAAAACGCCGTATGAGCCGGCAGACATTGCCAAATGTCCTCCGATAAAACCCGAAATTACCGGGGAAATTGTGAATATTAATTTCTAAAAATGTCGGGCAATTTTGTACGCAATTGAATCTGAAATATCTGAAAATTTCAAGGGAAAATAAGCGTAAATGTTGTCAAAAATACATGTTTTATGAATGGAAATTTGGTAACTCTCGAATGTTCATACGTCGTTTTTCCTTAGCACGGCAGAGTGGTGTATTTTGGTTAGTTTGGAGGGTTGAACTTCGGCTCAAGTGCACAGCCTGAATCGCGAAGAAGACTGCCGCTATTTATGTCGCTGTGCGTCGGGCGGTGACATCTCTGTTGATAAGTCGCGAAAATCGCATCAGAGCGAGGATACCATGAAATCTGCCTTGAATCGGCATGATCAGATAATAATTGTCGCAGGAAATTAAAGGTTCGTCCGCGCGCACCTTCTATAGCGCCTTCGACATTCTAGAGATACTTCAAACACTACACCGTTACACGTACGTCAAATTGCCTACTCTGCGCCTGCTGGAGTGTACACCTTGTTTTGAGATGCACTCCGTCCACTCGCGTTTCACGGTACGAATCGGCGGTAGTGGAATATTCTGTCATTTTAGGGAAGAGAACCATACATACGAAAATGAAATTTTGAGAAAATTGGCTCACCAGCGTTTGAGCCGAAAATATTATTAAAAGAAGCTTCCGTTTTTTGTCTAATAGCCGCGATTATCGAGACTCTTAGAAATCGTTAGATTATTAAAAATCGACCAATTTTATTTCAGTTATATGTAAAAAGGGTAGTTTTCCTTTTCATTTTAGGCTAGTGTAAGACAAGATAGCCGTTAGTGCCATCTTCTGCATGCTTTCGTTGTCGCGTTTTGAACACACCACGAACACATTTCCAGGTTAAAATTGGCAGACAAAGGAGGCATTTTACTTAAAAGCTCTGTAATCATTGACTATTCGAAGGAATAACGCTACTCACGCCAGTTTAGTCTGAAACTACGTCATTTTTTGCGCAGTTGCGGTTTTCTCACGTGTCCCGTTCTCATAAACTTAAACGAATTTTGCTGTTTTAGCTATTTCAGTGATTTCGTCTAAAAGAGATTAGCCGAATTTTAAAAGAAACTCCATTTTCTCCCCGCACACCTCGCACAAGGATTAAAAAGGGGTACCCCACAGACGTCCGGCAACCCATTTGCTGAACCCTCTCGCATCGCCGGCTGATATTTAATTTGCCGGGGTCGTTTTGCGTTAATCTTCCGCCGCGCCCGGGATCAAATAAGCTACAAAAGGCCGGGCAATCCGGCGCACCAGACGGAACCTTACACTCGCCCTCGGTGGCATCCAATTCATAAAAACGAGGTGTTTTCCACACCGCGGACTGTGTCGCGGAGCCAAACCCGCGGTATTTATTTATTGCTCTGAGTCTCGTGAGGTAGACTGCCGTGCTAAGGAAGAACGCCGTATGAACATTCGAGAGTTGCCAAATTTCCTTCGATGAAATGTTTATTTTTCAGGGAAATCACGAATATTTATCCTTAAAATTTTCAGAAGTTTTAGATCAAATGACAAACAAAATTGTCTGAGAAATTAGTAGACCAATATTCAAAACATTTCCTGAAAATTAGTGATTTGCCTGGACAAATTTGAAAACGCCTGACGGCTCATACGGCGTTTTTTCTCAGCACGGCAGTAGAGGACTAATCCTTCGGCGCACAGTGGATCGAGTCGAATAGTCGGCCGCTAAATTTTTTACTAAAACTGCAAATTTTTATGTTTATTTTGTCACATTTTAAATTTTAAGGGGTGCCTCCTGTCAGAAATTTCACGAGGGAACCATAGAACCACTTTTAGAACCTAAAAGTTTTGTATAAACGGAGTTATGACCGTTTAAAGGTTCCGAATTTTGTCTGACCTCTCCTATTGACGCGACCCTTTGTGCGGTGCAGCGGCGGGTTTATCATTTTTTCATCTCGTGGCTCGTTTGCAAAACACGCTGACCCGTTCAGGTTTGAAAGTCATTGTATGAAAAAAACCGATCCTCATTTATTTCCTAATACTGCTCCATTTGCGGTATCACACTGAAAAATAATCTCGGTGTATTTACTAAGAAAAGGGTAAAATTACCAAGAATTCAGGGTTCTATTTGATCCCAGTTTTTTCTTGGCAAAATTACCATTTATGGGATTGGTACCGAGAAATCTCGGTAAAATTATTGAACTTTCTCGGTAATTTTACTGGGCCTTGGTAAAAACGCCAATATTTTTTATCGACTGTGATAGAATTACCGAGATAAAATGGCGAAGTTACCGGGAATTGATTACCAATAAAAGTGGTATTCTTACCTAAAAAAACAGTAAAAATACCGGTTTTTAGATAAGCTTACCAGTCTGTCTTGGTAAAATTACCGATAATTGGTAAAAAAAGTGAGATGGTAAAGGTACCAACGGACCTTGGTAAAAACGCCGAGAATTTTTCTTCAGTGTGCTCGGGAAAAACGTCGTGTGCACCTTCAGGCGTTGTCATATTTCCTTCGATGAAAAATCAATTTAGTGTGAACATTCTGAAAATTTTCGATCAAGCTCATGAGCGCAGGTCCCCGAAGTTAAGAACGCAAAAGCGCAAACCGTATCATTTGCGCTTTTAAGCTGTTCTTTCGATTGCGCATCAATCGATCCATCGTTTAATCGATTCAAGAGGGGATATGCTCGAAGTTTGGCGACTGCGTAGGACTCACACAGGAATTCACATACGACAATGTTGGTACAGGAAAATCTGCCAGTTAGGTTTGAAAAAAATGTATGAACAGCCTGGTGTAATTTGCGGTTGGTTGAAATTATTTTTCGGCTCAAGAAATTCTTCCGTTTGCACTTCTGGGCTATAAAATTTTGCGCTTTTGAGCGCTTGATTTCGGGAATTTGCACTTACAGGCTTTGGCCGATATTTTCTCTCCAATTTTTCAGGCAATTTTGTTAATTTGTTTTTGTTGATTTTTTTTTTGTTTTTTTGTTTCACACTTTGATCTGAAACATCTGAAAATTTCGAGGAATAAAATGCATAACTTCCCATAAATATAAACGTTTTATAGAAGGAAATTTGGCAACGCCCGAATGTTCATAAAGTATTTGGACCGCGTTTAACAGAAAGGAACCAAGTCACATCAGCTATTGCCAAATTTAACTGGGCAAGTCAATTTTTTACGAGAGAATCTTTATTCCTTTGAAAATTTTAGGGAATTTGCGTCGTACTATGAAGAAAATTCACTGAAATTTGCACGAAAATCCGCCCAACCGTTTTTTTGTAAAAAATCAATTCGTCCAATTAAATTTGGCATTAGCTGATGTGGCTTGGTTCCTTTCTGTTTAACGCGGTCCATTTAAGGATAGGCACTTTGGTGCAGGGTAGAGTCCCTTTATACTGAGAGTCAAGACAACACCCCTTCATGGAGTCACAAACGGGATTAAAGATTACACAAATTGAAAGTTTTTCGTAATCTTTGATCGGCTCATTCTCAAATTTCTTTCTCCGTTCTTTCTCTCGTTTCGTTTGTTCCTTGTCGAACCTGTAATCCCTCGGTCCATTCCAGATTATAATCTTCGCAATTGGTGAAAATGTAATCTATACTCCCGTTTGTGACACTGTGGAAGCCTAAAATACGGTAACCAATCAGAAATGGATTCACATTGTCTTGACTCTCAGTATAAAGGGACTCTTGCTCCTTTCTTTTTAACGCGGTCCATTTAAGGATAGGCATTTTGGTATAGAGTCCCTTTATACCCAGAATTACGACAACTCACTTTTGGTTGGGCTGAAAGTGGCCTAAAAAAAAACCAATTCTGATTGGTTCTCGCTCATGGAGTCACAAACGAGTGCACCAAGATGGCGGTGACTCGAATGTGAACAAAAATAATGAAAATATTACGTAATTGTGGTGGTCAAAAGTAAATTGTTACTTCCATCGGTCCAAAATGAAAATATGTTAAGTAATTATTCACAAACCAATCTCATTTTCTTTTTAATTGATCAATTTTGTCGATGTTGTTGTTGTTGAATGATAGACATTGCAGGATTCCTTATTCTTATCCCTCAATATCGTTCGTTTGGGTGCACTCGTTTGTGCCTCCATGGCCAGCCAAGGCTGGCTGCTAGAATACCTTTATAGACAGAGTATGGCCATTCGTATCTTTTTTCTACAGGAAAACTGTTCCGCTTTTTGATTGGTCAACGAGTTTTTAGGCTTCATGATGCTCTTAGGGCCATATATAAACAAACAAGATGGCGGCTCACCGTAACATCGATGAGAAGCTAAATTTGACAAAAATTTCAATTATGCGGCAGCTACAATTTAAACGAGCATATCTACGAATAGCACACGAAAAACACATGAAAACATTGTTCAATTGCCTTCCACCTTTATCACAGGAGGATGTAAGATATGCATAACCTCAATCTTGCTTGCTGATAACGGCCATCTTGTTTGTTTATTTACGGCCCGAAGAGCATCGTGTTAGCCTATTCGCTCGCGACCAATGAAAAACCGGAACAGAAATGGCTATACTCTGTCTATAAAGGTACTCTACTGGCTGCCAGTCAGCTGATAATCGAGTTGTCTTAACTCTGGGTATTAAGGGACTCTACTTTGGTGCAGGGGTGGTGCAAGAGTTTTGTATGAGCCTGCAGATAGCGGCTTGAAGAGGTACTCACTTGGTTGCCGAAGACGCCGATGGCGGTGGCGGTCGAGACCTGGCGGTGGGGGAACCAGACGGCGGCGAGTTTGGCCGGGACACCGAGGGTGAACATCTGGGCGACCCCGATGACGGTCTGCGCCGCGAAGGCGATCGGGAACCCGTCCCGTCCGACGGCCAGGAGCTTCAGCCACGCACCCACCACCACCAGGAACGTCCCCAGGGTCACGCACACCCGAAGACCCTGCAAAAAGAAACACACGGAAAGTTACAATCCGAGACCATGGAAACCTTGCCGGAATTTTTTTTTCCCCACTTCAAATAGCCCACAAGGGCTAATCCTGCGTTTCAGTCCCGTCCCTCCTCCGTCCCTAACAACCAGCCCCAGGCAACCATTATTTGAGACCATCAAACTCGGGTCGCCTGGCCGGGAATCGAACCCGGGACCTCCCGATTATAGAGCTAGCTCAGCTAGCGCTACAACCACTACACCATAGGAGGCCGACAACAGGAACTGGGGAGGAACGTCCCCAGGGTCACGCACACCCGAAGACCCTGCAAAAAGAAACACATGGAAAGTTACAATCCGAGACCATGGAGGCCTCGGCGGAACTGAGGGCATTGGCGGATCCAGCAATGGAGAATTTGCACACACAAGATTGTATTACTTCATCTGAAAGTGCCTAATGGGCTGAGTTCGCAGTATTTTCCATAATTTTTTTCTGACATGGGAAATTGGAGAAAAATTGATTTAAAAGTGAGAAAATGTGCCGCCTTATGACGTCATCTGGTGGCATTTCCCATTTAAACACATGTATTTTAGCAGAATCGGTTATATTGTCATATCTCCTCTAGTAATTCCTCAATTTATGAATCAAGGGTATCTCCGTGTTCAGTTTACTCAGTAGATTCAACTTGAACACGAAATTCATCAAATTTCAGACCCTTGCAAATTCTTCATTTGGCAACACTGGGTTTTCTTAATTTTAACCTGTGGAAATCCATCGATTCTTGGAGGGGCCAGGTGCTCTGACAAGAATCGATTATTTATCATAGGTTTGCATGGAGGAAATTTGATGTTGCCAAATTGCTGGATCCGCCTTTGCCTGGGGACTTTTTGTTGGGGTCAGAACTGCCGTAATGTCCAAGAGAGCCGTAAGTGCAAATATTAAGTTTTGAGAAAATAGGCTAACGATAGCGTCTAAGCAAATTATTTTATTGAAAGAAGCCTCCATTCTTCTTGCTCGAATTTTGAAATCGCAATTCCGTTGTCAGGATACTAGAGAATTCACTCACCAATTCCGACAAACAAATTCACCGTAATAAAAGCGTGGATTTTTTAGAGGAAGAATACCGCATTCGATACCGATATCGAAACTGCACTCGAATGCGATTCTCCCTCTCAAAAAAAAAATCAGGCCCATATTACGTCGAATTTGCTTGTCAAAATTGGTGGGTGAATTCTTCAGCCTCCTGACGACAAAACTGCGATCTCAAAATTCGATAAAAATGACAAGTAGCTGGAAAAATGTAACCAATCGATGCGATATATCGCATATCATTTTGACACAAAATATGACGTCCATCAAATCACCTTATCGGGATGTCCGAAAAGTAGTATAGCGAGAATCGCGCAGTGGCGTGGCGTGAATTGCGATGTATCTATTGTTATGCCATTTAAACCTATTGCAAAGAATCGATTATTAAGGTGTTCGCTGCTAGCTGCTAACACCCTGTTAATCGATCCTTTTCCATAGGTTCAAATGGCATAACAATCGATATATCACAATTCACGCTACGCCACTGGAATCGCGGTTTTGCGTATTCAGACATGGACATTGCGGAGCTTGTGCCCCTGACATTGCTGCAACCTGCAACGCTGCGGTTTGTCGTGCGGTTTGCGGTGTGTCGCGGCGAGGTTATTAGTAGGTCACGTTTTTTGCCTGTAGTCGGACCAAGAGTGAGTGTGCTGTGTCCGTGCATTCGGTGTTATAATAAAACGAAGCCTGAAGTACTTTCACTCAGCAGTCGTGGCCGAGTGGTTAAGGCGTCTGACTAGAAATCAGATTCCCTCTGGGAGCGTAGGTTCGAATCCTACCGACTGCGAAAAATTTTCGAAAAATTGGAAAATCGGAGCGTTTATATGGAGAATGAATCTGACGTGAGAGAATCACACTTCTTCAATCCATATTCTTTGAGCCTTTATTTGGACAACATTTTGCAATTTGGAACTATAAATTCTCGCTCGGTTTAAAAACAACGTATGTGCCATTAGTTTCCCTATGCACATAAGTGTTTTTTCAGATGAGCCGGAATTCATAGCTCCAAATTGCAAAATGCAGTTCATTTGATGAACAGGATGTTGACGATGAAACTAGAAACCCTGAAAAGAGCGATAGGGTTTGACGCAACAGTTCATCGTCAAAAAAGAAGAAAAATACACGCAATTTTCCCAGCAAATTTGTTTTGTTTATGGAAAAAGGTGCGGCAACGCTTTAAGGTTCATACGGCGATTCTTCCGTCACGGTAGAATAGACTGCGTGAGGTTGAATCACTGGAAAAATGACGATTTTCCGAGTCCGTAATTCGCCCATTAAGTCGAACATTTTAAAAACGATCCGCGGGTGTTAAAATGACGTCCAAACGACTTGTAGACTAACTTCTCACTCTTTTAAAGCGTCGTAACGAGAATAAAAGTCCCCGGGCAATTTTTTTCAGCCCCCCCCCCCTTCCCGAGCTCGCTTATTCCGCCATAAACCACCAGAAGTTAGTCGAGTAACTTATGTTCCAGGAATGCTCGTGAAAATCGGCCGGGATGGATGAGTTAACCGCGTGCTTGCCAATTTTTTCGATCCCATTCGAATCCTGAAAAAATCTTACACGAAATCTCCATGGATGGTTTTTTTTCCGGTGGCTTGACTTGACTGGAGTAGAACTAAGCAGGGACTAAGGGATATACGTGCTCGGTAATACTTCGTAATTCAAAATCACATGGATCCTTAAGGCGGAGAGGAAGTTCAAGCCGACTTTTTGATGCTTAAAAATTAGAATTTGAGAGTGAATTTCTCACAGAGTATGCATCAAGACTAATTTTCCCTGAGTCATGAATGTCTCAATTTTTCAAAAACTGCAATTATGCGGCTTGTCCTCCTAGCCCCGCAATTCGCCCCCGGAAATTAATGGTTAAAATTTTTAGGGAGACAACAGAATTTTTTTTTTTCCACGAAGGATAAGATAAAAAAGAAGAAGAAAAAGATAAAGAATATGAAGAACACTGAAAACAAATTTCTTGAGATATTATTTTGACTTAGAGCGTTGTTTCTTGTTGCTAAAATTTGGTTTTTATTTTTAGTAGAATCCTTGCGGATATAACTTAAAGTCAATTTTTATGAGTTAGAGAAACGTTGTTTTGGTATCGTTAAATTTAAGGTAAAAAAACTATATCAAAACAACGTTTCATTAACTAAAAAACTGACTTTAGGTTTTGCTTTTTATGAAGAAGAACTACATTTTGTCGACAAGAACAACGCTCTAAGTCAAAATAATATCTCAAGAAGAAACAAATCAGTCAAGGATGAGAAGTAGGTGGAGCGGAAGAAAAGAAATAATGGTGATTTAGGGTGGCAACCCCTTAGTTCTTAAATTCCACGCTAGCCACCCGATATCCATCCCACGCGGCAACCCCGCTATATCTATAAGAAGCGTGGAATAGGCCCATAAAACTTTTACCTCCCTACATTTTCCCATAGCGGGGCGGCTTAAACTTGTAAGCTGGAAGTTACTCAACTATCCTTAAACGTAAACTCGGAACACCCCTCCTCGCAGCCCCTATCCCGGTCGTCTAGAACGGAGAAAAGGGCTTTAAACCTCAGACGACTTTGCAGCCATGAAAGGATGCGGCCAGATTTAACGGCACGACTATCGAGGCTTAGAAGTACTTAACCGAACAAAGTGAAATTAGTCCGCGATATTGTAATTGAAGGTGAAATTGAGACTTTGAAATTCGATCGCGAGTGGGTCATAGCAGCCGGAGGGTCCTGAGATCATTAGACCGTATTCGATAACGGTTCGATGTATCGTTTGGTTCAAAACAATAGAACATAACCTCAAACCAAAACTGTAAGGATTTAAGTCGGAAAAGCTGAGAATGAGAAATTTCCTGACAATTTCACTTTACATTGGCATTTCACCAAAAAGAAAAAAGAAAAGTCAAAAGAATAAAAAATCTGTTACAAGAGACCCGTTTTCTCAGATTTCTGAATTTACCTATAAGGCTATGTTTATGTTTTGAACCAATCGATATCGATACAATCTCACCCGTTTGATGTATCGAATATGATCTGTAGAGAGAATGAAAGGAAGAGCATCCCGAGTAGCGTTTTTCAAAGGAAAAATCGCGATATATTGCGATTTTATCGGCGATAAAATCACTAGGATCGTCAACATCCGAGCGATTATCCTCGATTTCATCGCGGTAAAATCGCGATTTTATCGCCCAGCAATTTGGTAATTATTTATGACGAAATTTTCTAAAATTGTATATTTTGTCGCCTCTCTGACGTATGAGCGTATCTCAATTTCCTAGTTATCCCTGTCTTGCATATAAATCAATGCTTTCTAGGGCTCATTCGGAAATAGAGATACGCCCTTACGTCAGAGGAGCTACGATTTGAGGGGCTTGGAGGACAAGGCGCATAAGTGCAGTTTTTGCTGTTGAGAAATGCATGTTTCAAGTTTCGAATATACACATGGATCCTGGAACAGAAAGTTGGACGTATTTCTATCAAACGGAACTAAGCGCCAATTTGAGTTCCTTTTGAGGAATTTAGAATCCCGGATAGCGCGTTCTCTCAAACGTACCTAAGCGCCTTGGAAAAGCATTGCGAGTATAGGACGGAATAAGCCGGACGCCCGATTCCGCCGCCAATCCAAGCCCCCCTCTACCTTCCTCACCCTATGGCGCTTAGGTCCGTTGGATAGAAATGCATCCAACTGTATATTTGAGGGGTTTGCATGGAGGACAAGGCGCATAAGTGCAGTTTTTGCTGTTGAGAAATGTATGTTTGAAGTTTCGAATGTATACACGGATCCTTTTGGTGAACAGAAAGTTCATATTGGCTTTTTGACGCTTAAAAATTGGAAATTGGAAGCGAATTTGTCACATTTTCTCAAAAGGAACTATATGCACTATTACATTGTTTCTTATCCAGCTCAGCACAAGTACACCCCGTCTTTCTACTTGCAAATTGTTCCTTTTAGCATAAATGCATCCTTTTGCACTGGAAAAAAAAAACACATTGGATCTAGAGTCCAGACTCTTGAAAACATTGACAAGGAAAAATACTCTTGATTCAATCGGATTTTAGATTGAATCAAAACGAATTCCGCTTAAAGTAAGAGGCTTGGTTCTTGATTTAAGCTAGATTCGGATTGAATCAAGAGTACTTTTTCTTGTCGATGTTTCTAAGAGTCTGGACTCTAGATCCGATGTGTTTTTTTTCCCAGTGTGGAGAATCTCTGTTGACTCACCCTTTTCTCGAGGAGCCAGGAGGCGGGAAAGACGAGGGGGACGTAGACGGCCATGAAAATCATGGAGGTCCAGTTGACGGCCATGGCGGAGACTCCGTAGTACTGGATGACGACGTTGGTGATGATGGAGTACTGGATCCAGTGGGCGGCGTTGCAGGCCGAGCAGAGCGAGAACAGCACCAGCATGAGCCACCGGCGCCGGTACACGCGGCACTGGCCCCCACCCCGAGCGCAGTCATCACCTGCAACACGCAACACACCAATGTCAATACTATTGCATACCCTCGTTGCACAAAAATATACATATGAGGACTTATCTGTAACAATAGCGGATGTCGAGTTTTTTCATGGTGAGAAAATTGCGTTTGACGTTTTCGAAGCTTTGCACTTTGCCGCCCGTAGAAACGAGAGAATTCTTGTAAAGATTTTCATGAAGAGCAACTCTGCCTGTATGAAACACACGTTTTACGATCTATGTAAGTGAAAAATTGAAGGAGTAACAGCGGTTTGAAAAAAAATGTGGCATCCGCTGTTTTTACTGAAAACGTTTTTTAATGCATGAAACAAAGGCTTCAGGATTGTTAAAGCTGGTGAAACGATTAAAATGAACCGAAAGTAAGTCAATGCTGAGTCATTTAATACAATTGAACAAAAAACTAGACCGTTTATAATTTCTAGAACAAAAGTAAGGAGCAAATTATAAAATCAGTAAAAAAATCAACAATTCTGGCGAGACGGTCCTGGTACGTATGTATAATTTCAGTGTCAGCTATAGCCCATGGTCGGTGCGCGGCCAGTTATCGCAAGTGGATTCGAATCTCTACCATGTCCTGCCGCGCCGGCGGGGGAGAACAGTGGATTCTCACATCCATTTTCCGGAATTTGTTCCAAATTTTAGCATTGTTGAGATTTTCCTGAATTTTTCTGGAACTTTTGAAAAAATCTAAAGAGAATCCCGGAACTTTTGACGGTCATGGAATGGGAGAAATTGGAACAAAAAAGTTCCGAGTCCCGGAACTTCTGACGGACATGAAACGGTGGCACTGCAGAGCGGAACAGTTTGTTGAACGAGCCTCATCGAATTCATCGATACCAGCGACGAAATCCGGAGAGATTTCTGTTCTGAGACAACCCTGCTTGTGAACAGGTCGACTAATTGCGAGGAGTAATTACCTGCCCGAGTCGGGCTGGCTATTAAAATCCAACTCCCCGAACAAAAACCACCCTCTCGTCCGGTACCCAACACCCCACTGCTCCAGGGTTGTGCAACCGTGCACCCACGTTGAAGATGTGAATGGACTACTAGACAAGGTACGAGTTAAAGGATTCTGATACATTTTTCTTAACCAGAATTTCACGTAGAACACGACTCGCGTAATGAAAATTAATCGCGCACTACAACGGTTTCGGCGATCTTCTTTACCGACCAGTGTTCATTTCCCATCATGTGTTGTTCAAACTTTAAGCAATTTGCTATAGCTGAGCCAAAGCGTCAAGATCGTGGTTGCCAGATTTTTATATCGCACAGACTGTCACGTTCACGTTTAGCGCGCGATGTGAATCACGTAGAGTACCTATTGAGTTTTCATAAACGGGCGGTTTGAATGCACGCATCAAGAATCATTAAATATCTTCGTAAGGAGTTGATTTCAGTAATTTTCGTTGTGAGTATCGTGTTTTACGTGAAATTTGGGTTAAGAAACATCTATCAGAATGGTGAAATTCGTACCTTGTCTAGTGGCCCATTGAAGGGTTAAATTGAAAGGGACTAGAGGTTAAAAGGGAGGAGGGGGTCGCTCCGTTTCTCAGCATCCTCATTTTCACATTCCTCGTGGACAATCGTTGACCGAATTCACCAAATTGGCCATTTTGGGACATTTTTCGAGGTCTCTTTTTATCCTGAAACGAGGTCCGGGGGACAAAACCGCATCGAAAAAAGAAGGATGCTGATTTAACATTTTGGATGTAAAAAAGTGTGCGACAACTCGCAAAACACTGAATTAACTGCCACAACAGTTAGTTTTACATATTGGCATTGCTGAAGTAACTGCTGTAGAGGTTAATTCAGCGTTTTGTTAGTTGTCGCACACTTTTTTACATCCGGAGTGTTAAAATAGCACCTTTTTTTCGGTGCTTCTAGCTGACAATTTTGGCGAAAATGAGTTAGCGACTTTGCCGCATACTTCAGTATTAAATACGCAAGCTGATATTCTTAGTTTATTCCAACTCCGCATGGGAGCTCTGTAGGGACCAAAGACATAAAGACGGAGTGCTCGTATCTAAAAGCACGGGGAAAAAGTGAAGCCTGGTTTGGCGCTGGGTGCTTGTGTGAGTGTGTAAATGAGCGCGGGAATCCATGGCGGCAAACGGAAATTTGATTTGAACTTGTCCTCTTGATTTTTCCACATTTCTTCTTCGAAACGTATTTTAAATGCCTAAAACGAACATATTAAGAAAGTTGGGACTGCGTCCTACTATAATACATTTACTTTTGCTCGGTAACAGGCAGTAATATCAGATAAAGTTAGTTTTTCTTCTGCTCATGGTGGTTCTGCCGGTTCAAACAGGCCGTTACAGTCGTAGATGACAGTTACTCCCAAATGAAATTAATCGGTCGACGACGGACCAAAACTAACCTAAAGTTATACAAATATGAGTGTGTAAGTGAATTTGGGCAAAAATCAACCTAAATTACTTTGTTTCCGCAATTTTATTTAGTTCCCGCCCTACATTTGAATTTCAAACTTGTCCCGATTTCGCCGCCAATCCTATAGCCAATGGTAGAGGTGATTGAAAAGAAGCTTCATTTTTTGCTTTTAGCGCTCCGTCTTTATGTCTTTGGTAGAGACGCTGTAATGTATGAAAAAAATTGCAAATCTAACCACAAAATCACAAAAATGGTGAAGTTTCTTTTCTGCCTCGCAAAATCGTCAGTTTGCAGGTAGGCGATATCAACGATGTAAGTCGGCAATCACATAACTCGGTTTGCGACGTCGCAGACTTCCCGTCATACTTTATTTTTTAAACGGAAAACTACGCAACGGTAATTCTTTAAAACTGCCGTGAATTTTCTTCTCGTTGCGAAGAAAATTCTGCAGAAACTTCAAGGAATGATGTCAATTTGTTCTCCTTTAAAAAAATAACACAGAGGCGGAGATTTTAAGACATCGCAAACGAGATATGTGATTGCCGACTTACACCGTCGATATGTTCCTTAGCCATCGAAAGGTACCTTAAATAGTCCATAACTTAACGTTAAGTTATTGATACGGCAACAGAAATGCGTGCTGTACCAGAACTTACAAACCGAAGGAAGGTTATATGAATTTTCTAGATCAACGGACGTAGTTTTATGAAAATTCCAAGCTGCCATATTCCGGACACCAGATTGCTAGATACTGCAACTTTTTACCCCAGAACATTTTTCCGGGAAAACGCAGGATCTGATTTGAAAATTTGGCTGGCAACGCTGCTCTTGCCTTTATCGTAGAAACATCCGTAAATTCATAAGATGGTTTTTTTTCCGGATCCTTGTACAATTTGATTACTTTAATCGAGTCTTTCAAAAGATGTCGATAGATAGATTGTATTTTGTCGATTTTTTTGTGAAATGATTGAGAGCTTAGTTCTCAAAGCTTTTTGGCAACTGAGCTTGGAATAATTTGAATCACAGAAAATGGGCACTGTGAAAACTTTAGGGCTACCCCCGCTCCAGGTTGCCAAACTGAAGGGCGAGAAGAAATTTATTCCATGAGTTTGGATCCTTGTGAAAGGACTAAGTGGGAAGGGGAAAAATACCGATGGAATGAAGATTCAATTTAAAAATGAGTCGCAGATCTGTATTCCCAATTGTTCGTAAAGTCGCAGTGTTTTTCTAGTGGTTTCCTGAAAATTGATAATTTTACCGAGAGAGTGGGTGAAGGGTGACTCACTTTGGGAAAGAATCCATTTTGGATTATTAACCATCTATTTACGAAAAAATTCACGAATGGATATCACCAAAGTAAATCCATAAAATGGCGGGAAAACATGAAATAAGGTAAAACTCGCTCAAATAATGAATTGTCCAGGGGCGTAGCTAGGAAATTTCTCTGTGGGGGGGGGCATGGGACCACCTCTCGTGGTGAAGAGAGTGGAGGGGGTGAGGAATGGAGAATCCGGTTTTTCTGGGGGGTCACGAGATTTCTTGGGGGCAGCCCCCCCCGGACCCCCCTAGCTACGCCCATGGAATTGTCTAGGATTCATGCCGACCTTTAATTTTGATGAAATGCGGAAGTATTGCACAAAGTTTGTTTCAACAAGTCTGCAGGATCTATTTCAGATTTTATGTAAATGAAAAGTTGTGGAAAGAGCAAGATTTTTAGTGAGGAAGGAGTGAATTTTAGATTAAAACGATCAATTCATAAAAGAAAATTTGAATATATATCATAATCGAATCCAAAAAAGAGTAAAAAACCTTAGGAAAACGCAAAATTTAGTGGAGTGGTGAGATTTTTAAGGACCGTCTCGACCTTTCATTAAATTTTACTAATTACGGTTATTTCACAAAATTTTTTTCTACCACGTATGAAAGAAGTTAGGTCGACCTCTTTCAAAATTTAATCCATCCAAAATCTTAGGTTTGAATGTGAAAAATAGGCGCACTTTTTCACTCTCCAGCAATGAAAAAAGGGAAATTTTGCTCTAAAGATTGGCACCTTTGCAAGAAAGTTCTTCCCGTGAGCGGGAAAGTGTGCAAAACTTTAGCGATTTCGCTCTATTGCCCTCGTAAGGCGAACTTGATTCGAAGTTTAGTAAAGAGGTATACAATGAAGCACTTTTACTCCTGACCCTAACGGAGAGGTTACGGAACTGGAACATTTTGGTAAAAGCAAACTAGCAGAAACCAAATAATAAAAACGTTTTCAGGGCCTCAACATCAGCAATCTTCAAAAGTATGACTATTGAAGATAATTGAAATAATATTTGCATTGTATTTCGACGGTGAAACCACGACCGGCGGTATACCAGACCACTACCTCGTTTACGGTTTTTCACCGCTCTTATTTTATTTTTTGAAGGAAGACAAATCAATATCACTCCTTGAAATTTTCACTGAATTTTGTTTGCACTGAGAGGAAAAATCACGGAGGTTTTCAAGAATCATCGTTGAGATGTTTTCCATTTAAAAAATAAAGTCTGAGAGAAAGTGTGCAACGGCACAAACCGAGATACGTGGTCTGGTAATTTCACCGTCAATTCT